CTCTGCTTCCTGACCTGGGCCCCAGTTAGTCAAGTACAAACTCTAAGACTATGTGCCATGTATATTACACAGCCTATCACATGACATGCAAATATACCGTAGTAATAATATTATTAGGTAACACTTTAGTATAGGAACCAATTCTCACTTTTAACTAGTTGCTTAGCATGCCTATTAATAACATACTGGCTGTTTATTAGTACTTTTATAGCACATATCGTGCATGACCATATTCTACATCCCTAATCCTACCCAATCCCTAAACTTAACAACTACCTTACTAACTATAACTATTAATAAGCAGCAAATTAGGAGTTTGCTTTGGCAAAAGTCATAGTTAATGGTTTGTTAATATCAAGAATTAGACATTAAAATAAAGTGTGACATAAAAGATTAGCTAAAATAGCTATACATTTATTAATTAATTATCTTAAAATTTATTAATAATAAATTTCTGAATTCATATTTAAAGATCGCATTAAAACAACTGAAAATGAAAATCAGGGTTGTTATTGTTAACTAAAACTAAAACTATGAAAAATAATTTTTGGCAATTGAAGCTGAAATAAAAATAAAAAAAACTTAGAAAAATTAGATAAAAAACTAAGCTTAAACGAACATTTGTTGCTTTGGTAGCTAATTGAAATGAAATGAATTGAAGTATTATAATTACTAAAACTAAAACTGAAAAAATAAAATAAAATAAAATAAATATATAAAGCTATTAGAAATATTAAATTTGTTATGCTGGATTAGCTTTTATTTTTATGTTTTCAGTTTTTAAGTTTTAGTAACTTTGCTGTGTGCTTTTGTCATTTTTATTAGTTTTTTTTTTGTTTGTTTTTAAAGTTGAAATTTAATAAATAAATAGTATAAAAGTGTAGTGTAATAGTACTTTAATAGTATATAAACACCTAATAGTATATAAATCACCTTGCATACTATGCAGTGCAAATGGTATAACATTGAGATGCACAGTTGCATGTTAGCATCTAACCATTAGCCAAACCTCATGTTTCATTCAGTGTAAAATCTCATTTTCCATTTTCCTCATAACATAAGATCGCTAAGAGCAAAACAGCTCCAAGATTTAGACAGAGATTACTTCAATGCAAATGCATCACTGTTGGTAATGCTATCTGCTAAATATTATCTAATGTTTTAAAGGCTGTGTTTTCAGCACACCTTTTCCGACATGTTTGCTTCTGCACTACGATAAAACCAGTTAAGAAATATAAAAAGTATAACTATAGTGTTTTAGAAATAAACGCAGTGTAAAGGACATTCACAGTCCTCTAATTTGCGGCAGAGTCAGAGAGCTGGTGCGGTTTTCTCGCCAGACGGACAGGAGAGAGACCTATGGGGGCTTCTCTTACATCACTGCTTCTTTGATTTCACTCTCTGTCTCTCATCCTCCTCCTCCAGGCATCCCTCTCTCATCTCTCCAGCTCCTGCGTCACTATTTCATCCTCTGCGGAGTTCAAGTATGTGTGTGCGAGTGCGTCTGAAAGAGAGACATTTGAGCGTGCACGTGCCCGAGTGCATGTACGTGCGAGTGTGTGAGAGAAACGAGGTGTGCTTAACGTGTGCGTGCCGCCGTCCCCAAGATCCCCAACCCCAGCTAACTGGCTTATGAATGTTTTTATGATCTTGTTAAAACTGGTTACATTATTCAAAGCTCCATTCATTCAGAGAGAGAAAAGGCAAAGAGAGAAAGATAGATTGAGAGGAAGAGAGAGGGAGAAAGAGAGAGAGGCCGCAGGCTGAGTGAAATTTTAATGAATTCTCTCACGGTCGGAGGAAAAACGATTGTGAAAGTTGGCAGAGAAGGACGAGATTTCAACTCCGCTGATTTCTCCAGTGTCATCGGCTCTTTTGTTTTTTGTCTCATCTAATGGGAGATGTTCGAAGAAAGACCAAGGAAAGTGAGAAAGGGAGATGTCAGGGGTATCATTTTCATCCAGATGTGTAACACTGCTGCCTCATGTCGCTTTTCTCACCTTATTAAGACAGAAACAAAAATGTTTAGGCTGCACAGATCAGGACTGCGTTCTAATATTATCTAATTTACACTATGGTTCAAAAGTCTGAAAGTCTCTAATGCTTACCAAAGCTGTATTTATTTGATCAAAATTAAAACAGCAATTTTGTGAAATATTAATACAATTGAAAAAAAATCTGTTTATTAAAATAACTATTATATTATATTATACTGACATTTCATTCACTGACACGCTTCACAAAACTGGCCACACATATACTTACTTGCCAGCAACCCGCCAAAATAAAAGCTTGCTGATTTTAGGTTTGAAAATGAAACTGAAAACTCACATAAAAATAACAATTCAATAAAAACAAAATATAAAATGTAAATATTAGCCTTGTATTTTTAAGTGTACTATAAAAACAATTGTATTTTTTTTTTTAAATACTCACTTTTTATTTTAAAATATAATAGTATTACGTATGAGCCAGTTCTAATGAATCAGTCTGAGGCCCTGTCCACACACAAACGCAGCACCAGGTCACTGAAACCGAACATTTTTGAAAACGCCTGCCAGGGTGAAGATTTTCAAAAACTCCGGCTGCAGTGTTATCGTGTAGACAGCGAAACTGGAGATTTTGGCTTGTGACGTCGGAGCCTGTGCTGTTATCTCCGCCTACTGGAGACTTTTTCAGGCTTCTGATTGGCCAACATGGCTTTACGGTTGAGATTATATCGCCACCTGTTGGTTTGGCATGCTCTTGACAGTGCTTCATAGCATGCGTTTGCATTTTCATGTGGAAGGAGATTTTTTTTTAAAACGTAAGAAGGAAAAACTCAGTTTATAAGAATACCCCTGTACGTGTGGACATGGCCTGAATCAGTCTTCTATAATTTACAGCATTAGCAGATTTCTTTCGTATTTAAGCAAAATGGAGATTATATTTGAAATGTATCCAAAATCTAATCAAACAGGAAATCTGTATTGATACAAAAAACATTAAGGTGGGCCACAGAGACGGGCTACACTCTATAAAATAAAGTTTCCAAATGGGGGTTTTCACAGCAATGGCATTAAAGAACCATTTTTGTTTCCCCAAAGAATGTTTCATGTAACAGTTCTTAAAAGAACCATTTTTGCGTGAAGAACTTTTTCTAGTATAACGAACATTTTTATGCAATGGAAAGGCTCCGTGGATATTTATGAAACCATAGATACCAATAAAGAACCTTTATTTTAAAGAGCCGAATGTACGATGCTAGAGAAAAACAGCAGTAATTTGTTGTCATGTGAACAGGAAGAGTATTTTTAATGAAAGGATGTCTGGTAAGAAATCTTCCTTCCCCCGTCATTGGCATTCACTGTGGAGGCTGTGAGTGTGGCTCCATATCACACTCCTTCACTGTTGACGATAAGAGATACTTGAGGCGTGTGTGTGAGTGTTTCCAGGGCTGAGATAGGGATGTGAGTGTGTGAAGAGATGTGAGATCACGTGTGGAGACGATACCGGTGGACAGCCTCATAGTCCCCTCACCCGTTGGGACTAGTTATAATGCTTGCAGATGAACGTCACAGCTTAGGATAGTCACTAGTGAAGGTTTTTGGACTGTGTTTGTTCTTGTGGTGTGAGTAGCCAATTAACATTGTCATAATGTCATTTTCCTGCAGTTTTAGAGTGATTAGTCACATGACATTTATGCCTCAGATGATTGGCTAAAAAAAGCAACTTGCATTGAGATGAATTGGAATGCTAGCAGACAGCTTTCTTCAGGTATTACTGGCCTCTTTTGTTGTGAAGGAGAAGAGGAAGACAGAGACAGAAGGAGGAAGTAGTCTGGCCAGACTGGCTCCTTCTGAGCGTTAATAAGAAGGATAATGAAATTAGAGGTCTATGGAAGGCTTGTAGTGTGGTCACCATGCTGTTCTAACTTCATTAGCAATTATGTAAACATGGGCAAGCACAGTGTTTTCATGCGTGTGCCTACTTTTTTTTTTAACTATATTAGTTAAATTTCTGAAAAATGTCTTTAAAATACAGTAAATAATTTTAAAACTTTTACATTTTAGAAGTGTATAAACTAATTAAGTTCCCACAGGGGTTTTCAAACTTTAATATCAAGGACCACCAAATATAATAACTCCCTTGCAAGGGCCCCATTCTTAAAAGGCTGCTACATATTTTCATGTAAAAAGATCCATAAATGTGAGAAAAATATGAAAGTTTGCATATAAATTCATTAGAAACTATATTTTCAAAATCTTATTGATTTTATTAATTCATTCATGCATACATTTTTTTTTTTATTTGACCAAAAATGTCATAATTCGATCTTCCAGTAAAACGACAGACTTCTCTCTAGTGACGTATACTAGATTTCTCCAATCATATAGTTTATGTAAACAGATCTGCCTGCATTCAATTAAAAAACAATGGACAGAATTTTTTTTTATTCATTTCATTTAGAAGTATGTTACAATGAGAAAGAAAAAAGATCTGCCGCTACTTCTGTTACATCACAACCAATGTTCCCTCTAATTTTTTTTTTCTAGCTGAGCAAAACATTTCTTTATTGGGCGGACATTTCGGCCACCTGAGCAAAAAAAATCTTCATACCAGAGCTATACAGTGCTCACACAAAAAAAGTGTGTAACTTTTAACTTTAATGTGCTATTTAAATTAGATTTGACCCTTGATGTAACTAAATGATGCACATGTTAGGTTACCTGAGAAAAGTTTTTTTTTTACAGTGCTGTTACTTACCAAGAAATTCTATTAAAAATCATTTTTAAAAATCTCACACAGAACAGTTCAATTCTTATATAATATAATATATAATATAATATAATATAACAAACATAATATAATATAATATAACAAACATAATATAATATAATATGAAAAAACGAAGCCGTTATTGCTCATGAATTCCCTTTCTGAGATCAATTATGAGGCATATTTCTTCTGCACAGCTGCGACATAAGAAGGTTGTGCATGCACGCAGCTTAGAGGGAGCATTGATCACAACAAAGTTGGCTATCATAAATACGTTATTTTAAAAAGTAAATATTTATCACTATACTAAATCCAAAAACGTATTACGGCATGAGCATATTGTTTTTCTATGTTAAAAGTTGGTTTTGCAGTTAGTTAAAATATTGAGCTATATATATTCTGACAAATAAATAAAGGTAAGCACTTCAGCTTTTGAAAGTCATATTATGTAATTACAATTATACAATTAATTTATACAAATAAATATATTTGGCACACAAAATGAGATGACAGAGAAACTCTCTCATTCACCATTTAATTAGCTAAATGAAAAAGTAACTGAATGACATCATTCTGCCTAACATCTCCTTTTGTAAGTCATATGAATAAGAAACAAAATAAAGGTAAGTGATAAGACTTATTTAATAGTAAAAAGACTATTTTATTCACAACATAATCTCTCTTAAAATACAGTATAGGGTTATGATAATCAAAAAAGTCCTGAGCTAGATCAAGCTTTGATCTCTGCAAACCAAACTATCACTTTAATTAAATAATATTTTTCCCCCACTAATAAAAGATTTTATTATTACTGCTTTAAAACAGAAAATCAGGTTGTAATTCTAACTGAAAGCGACATTGACTCTAGTTTTTCATGTTTAATATTGTGTAAAGCTGCTTGAATTAAGGCTATCTATTGCATAAAGTACTATATAAATAAACGTGACGTGACTTTACTGGAGTGCCGAACTGCAGCGCTTGTGCAACATCCACATCACTGTAATCAGATGCGTTCTTAACTGCTGCTTTCTCACCGCTGTCAGTTTTGTTGTGTTTATTTCGTTAGTTACAGGAAAGAGCGCAGCATGTATTTATATATTCATCCAAACGCCGCTCAGCAGCTTCAGGTTCGGCTACTTTTGCGCTCAATGCGCTGTGTCTTCTTCTCTTGAATTGCATCCGGGAGAGCTGAATTACTGTCTTGCGCTACAGCGCCACATTGGTCAAACCGCATTACTGCAGGCTCTTTCATTAGGTCATATGAGATCGAATGACTACAACAAAAATATTTGTCGACAATTTTTTTATTGTCAACGTTGTCGATAATGTCGACTAATCGTTTCAGCCCTATCCTCAATGAATTTCATTAATAAGCCAAAAACATCTTCCTGTCAAAGGAAACAAACTCTTTTCCATGTCTAGAAACCCGACACACCTTACAGCTCACTTTGCTAACACCACTCCATACGCACATACTTTCAAGATGTCATTCTGCACGGATGGTTTTCCATTAACACTTAATTCTTTTATCACACTTGAGTGTTTCCTCAAAACAGTGTTGCCAAACAGGCATGGAAAAAAACTGATGACTGGCTGCCTCTCCACATACACACAAACATATGCACCACTTCTACATGCTTATTTTCAGTTCCTGAACAATGCAAAAATCTGACACACCAAAACAGGATAAATGACATGCTAATGGACTGCTTTTATAAAAAATGCTGTTTCCAAGCAACTAACAGGTAAGACGAGCTGCAGTTTTGCTCATGCACAATACTGACAACATGAGAGAAACAAAAATGAGACTGAGAAAGAGAACGTCTCGGTTACGTATGTAACCCTCGTTCCCTGAAG